CGGCGTGTGTGACCGGTGTGTGAGACGCGGGGGTGTGTGTGCAAGGCGTGTGTGTGACGTGTGTGTCTCTGTGTGTGACCTGTGTGTGAAACAACGACATACGTGTGACATGTGTGTCTCTCTGTGTGTGACGCGTGTGCGACAAAGACGTGTGTGACGTGTGTGTCTCTGTGTGACGCACGTGTGATGTGTGTGGCATGTGTGTCTCTGTATGCTGTGCTGTGTGTGCTGTGTGTGCTGTGTCATGTGTGTGCCGTGTGTGTACTGTGTGTGCTGTGTCATGTGTGTGCCGTGTGTGTGAGTGGCGCACAGACGCCGCTCTGGCCCGACGGCTCCGTCTCCTGCTCCCGTAGCAACTACTGGACCAGCTCCTACAGAGGAACGCGGTGTAACCACGGCTGCCCCGCCGCCCCAGCCTGGACCCGGATAGCTTCAGACGCTGGACACACCATTAAACGTGGCCCAACCTTCACGATGTCAAACACTTATTTTTACTTTTGATTTTTTTTTTTCATAAAGGAAAACCTAGCTTCCAAATCGCTGAGCCAAACCAAACAGAAACAATGATGCTTGAGGAAGTGGCTCAGCAGACTGGTGGGCGATTGAGTCACAGAGCCCACCAGAACCCTGCTCTTCTTTCTTCTGAATTTTCCCTTTGCTTACAACCCCCCATTTTCACCCAGTCAGAAAGGCCTTACAGGCTCCTGAGGGCTTAGATCCCAGGGGGTTTTATATATATATATATATTTTTTTTTTTTTAATCAAATTTCTGGGACCCAAATCCTACACTTTTTACATACAAATCCCAAATTCTGCCAGTTGTGCAAATCCAAACCTCGGGTTATCACACAGTATGTCTAAAATCTCTCTGGACGCGTGCACCACGCAGTACTGGAGGCCAACTTTGGAAATAAGTGGGTGCTGGGCCAGGGATCTGAGAGCAAGCACCAGTTTCCTGTGACCTGGGGTGGCCAGGGCAGCCCTCACTGCCCCACCTGCTCCCCCACCTTTCTCTGTTCAGCAAGAGTCAGTTTCCATGGACGCTATCAGGGCAGAATCAGCTGGAAATAAATGCAGGTGACCTCAGTGTTCTCTGCAGGCCCCCCGCCACCAAGGAAGAGCTGAGTCGTTGAGAACGGCCAGATGGCTCCCAGGCTGCCACGCGTTCTTCCAACATTTACAATGTTTGTTATTTATAAACGTGTTTGGGGAGTTAAGAACCAACTAGTTTTTATCGAAAATGGAAATAAATAAATGCGGTTATTACAAAAATTCAAGTATTTCTCTGTTATATATTTTGTGTTATGGATTGAGCAGCTCAGTGAGAAATGCCGCCAGGCCCAGGGGGAGCCTCTGACCTGCCCCTCGGCCACCTCCTAGCGCCCAGGTCAGGAGCCTGCGCCTCTTGATGCCCAGGGGAGAGGGCTGTCTCCCAGAAATGTGGGGAAATTATGCAGAGCAAGGTTTGGGATCCAGAAGACCCCAAATCTCACTAGGAGGCTCCCCAGGAAATAGAAAAGTTCGGGGATTGAGCAGGTGACACCCACTGCTGTGTACAGGGCCCCCTTTTCTGGGAAGCCTTTCAGCCTCGGGTCCTCTCCTGACCCCTCCCGCTCTCCAGCTGCCCTCTGTGGGATTGGAACTTGGGGCACATTGCATTAGAGCCTGTGCCATCCACCCACGAGAGAGGATCTAACCACGTGGGAGATCTAACCACGCGATGGGGAGCTGACTGGAGCACAGCTGGGCTGCACAGCCCCTGGTCTGCGCCCTTAGCATCCAGTCAGGGCGAGAAACCACACAGTCACTAGAACAGGGCAGTTTAATGGACAGGGACCGGAGTGACGAGGGATTGGCTAGTGAAACGCAGAGAGAACTGGAAAGAACGCAGTGAGAACAGATAGAAGGCCCAGCCTCCCCCCAGCACTCCCCAGCCCGGGGCTGAGACCTAGGTCTTGGGGGAGCGGACGTAGTTGCAGCTCAGCAGGTGACAAGTTTCCGGGGTGCCGTGCTGATGGAACTTGCAGGAATTCGCTCTCTGGGGTACACAGGGCGCTGGCTCACCAAGGCCCTGCTACTGTGCGGGCCGAGGGAGGAGCTGCGGGAAGCAGCTGGCCAGGGATGCTGTGCCCCCGGCAGGAACCTGTCCAGCAAACTGTCCCAGGCCCAGCCCCACACCCTTTCCCTCCCACAGCATCCCCCAGCGCCCCCGGCTGACAGAGCTGAGCATCCTGCAGCAGGCGGAGGAAACCCGCCGGAGCTCCCGGATCCGCTTCCGCAGAGCGAGCAAACAGGGCGACTTGCTGGGAGGTGAGAGGCGATAAAGCCAAAAACGGGCCCACGAGTTTGTAACCGCGCTGCAGTTTCCCGACCTATGCGACGGGGATAACTGCGCTGCCTCCTTTTTAGGGGCTTGAATAATTCAGTGTGAGCCGCGTGCTTAGAAGACACCTGGCCCGAGGCGAGCACAGCACGACTGGTTCCCGTCACTCTCAGGCGTTTTCTCCCCAGCTGCTCGAACGTGTGGAGACAACTTCAACAGCACGGCCGGGCTCACCCTTCAGGCTCATTCTGGTTCCTGAACTGATCACGCCCCTTCCAGGATGTTACACCGAATTTCTATTCATAGGTTTAATATTGTATCGACAGACATTTCAAGTCAAACCTATATTAGTCCAGGAAAATTTTTATTAAAGATCCTGCCATATCTTTTTTTTTTTTTTTTTAATTTGTTTGGTTTTAAATATTTTTCACAGTTTCAAAAGCTTTTCCTAATCAGTAATTTAAATTCAGGACCCAACCACTTCTGGACTATTCTGTGACACTTTCCAAGAATTAGATTTATGTCGACTCACATCTAAATATCTCAGGATGCCTGATGGAGCCAACTTGCCCATGAAGAGTTTACCCCTTTGCAAATCTCATGCCAAGTCCTAAAATTTGAAGAATAAATAAAAATCAATTTGAGATGAAATGCCACTGAATAATGTATCTCTTTATAAAAAAAATTTCAGCCTGGCCGGCGTGATTCAGCAGTTGAGCATCGACCTAGGAACCAAGAGGTCGCGGTTCGATTCCGGGTCGGGGCACATGCCCGGGTTTCAGGCTCAGTCCCCGGCAGGGGGTGTGTGGGAAGCAGCCGACCCATGACTCTCTCTCTCTGATGTTTCTTTCTCTCCCTCTCTCTCTCCCTGTCTCTCTCTGAAATCAATAAAGATATTTTTTTTTTAAAAGAAAAAAATATCACCCCTCCTCCCCTCCCCTCCCCTTTGTTATCAGCTTGTTCTCTGTATCTAAGATCCAGTTCTGTTTTGTTTGTTTTTTCTTTAGATTCTTACATATAGGTGAGATCATATGGTATTTCTCTTCTCTGTCTGACTTATTCCACTTAGCACAGTGCCCTCTAGGTCCATTCATGTTGTTGCAAATGGCAAGATTTCATTCTTTTTTATTGCTGAGTAATATTCCATTGTGTGTGTGTATAACATCTATTTCATCCACTTGTCTACTGATGGACACTTGAGCTGCTTCCATATCTCGACTATTGTAAATAATGCAGTGAACATAGGGGTGCACATATCTTTTCAAATTAGTGTCTTTATTTCCTTCAGCTAAACACCCAGAAGTGGAATTGCCGGGCCATACGGTACTTCTATTTTTAATAGTTTGAGGAATCTCTGTACCGTTTCCATAGTGGCTGCACCGAGTTACAGTCCCACAGTCACCGCACCAGGGTTCCCTTCCCCACATCCCCGCCGGCACTCGCTGTTTGCCGCCTCTTTGCGGGAGGCCTGAACGGTGTGTTTCTGAGGACAGTTCTAACCAAGGGGCCTGAGGTGGAAACTGGGGAGGAACATGTGACGTCGGCTCCCGCTGGTCCTCCCTCGGGACAGCCCTCGGGGCGGCTGCAAATGAAGCTTCAGTTTCTGCTGAACCGATAGTCTCCCTGTTGCTGTTGTAGCTACTGCTGTTTGTCTTTTAA